GGGAGGAAGAGACACCCTTGGCCTTTTTTTAGCAAGGCAATATTTTAGGAATGCCCCCAGATCTCAGGGGGGGGGGGGAAGAGGGAGTTCTCGGATAGCTGTGGCACTTTCCCAAATCAGCTTTCGGGCACTAACCAGGCGTTGCATGATTACCTGAAAACCAGGGCAGGATACCGATGCCTCCCCATCTCACAGTCACCCCATGACTTTGTCACTCGAACCCCATTCTCGTCCCTCCACGTCCCCCCCCCCTTCGGTTTTTTGAAACTCCGAAGTGCCTTTCTGAGCCTCTGAATGGCCTGAAACAGCGGCACCCTCCAGTATTTGAGTTAGAGATCAAAAGCAAATACACTCAGCTGAACCTCACCAATGGCTGGACTTCCCAATAGCTCCTGCTGTTAGACGAGGCGACCCAAGTTTCACATCTGCTGAAAGTGAAGAATTGGATGTGCCTTTCAGCGTGGTCATTCAGCGCAGAGGAGCGACAAGATACTTTGTGAAAAAAGATGGGGGGAAAAGGAGCAGGGATTCTTTTGGGGCATGTTTATACGCTAATCTAAACGTACAGATGCAGGTGGAGAACTTAGTTAGATCACCAGATGGAAGTCACACTTTGTTTCTTTTCTCTCACTGGGGCACCTTCGCTCTTCAGCGATCTTCTCCCTGAGGCGACTAGCTTGACTGACTTCCTTGTTTCTTTTGCCCTGAGCTATTCAAGGGCTTCTTCCTCTTAGCAGCCCATCAGTGGTTCAGATCCTCTACTCTCCCTCCCATGGAGGGCTCTTTAATTTTAAGAAATGGAGTGATCCTTCAGAGAAGGGCCCTCTGGAATGGAACCCCCCCCCCCCAGCATTTTCTCTTGGACTACTTCCTGACTCAGCTGATGGCTCCCTGTCAACTGGAAGGACTCTTTGACCACAACCTGGACACGTGAGCACCTGGCTGGCCACAAGTTCCTAGGCTAGGATGAGAGGATGAAGAGCCCGTGCCATATTTTGGAGCATAGATAGGGCCAGATTTCTCTTTCCCAATCACTCCTGAAGCTGGAGACGGTCTTCTGTCTGTAGAACAGCAGACTGACCTCAGGCGGGACACATCTGCTACCCCCTGCCTCCTGGTCCCCATCCAGAATATGGCTAGAGACAGACACCTCCCAGGGGATTCAGAAATGAAGGGTGCCTTCTTCAGCTCAAGGACTGTCTTTTAAAGAACTCCGACAATCCTCTCAACCTCCATGCTCAGCCACCCTCAACCAAGGCTGGTCATCATGATACCTGATGGCATTTAAAACCTCCTTTGCAAACTAACAATTGCAGGTGTAATAAATGGGTGGTTTTAGAGCAGCTCGTAGATCTCCTGCAAGGCTCTGTGGCCCAGGTCTTCTGGCTTCAAGCCAAGAGCTGCTCGGTCTGCTCGCTGAGGACTGAAGGGTCCTATCGCTTTCACAGTGGACTCTGCAAACCAAAGGATTGCTTTCTCGGTCCTGATTTCTCCCAGTGCCAGGCCCACTTTTCCCGCCTGTCTATGGTTTGTCCTAGGAAGTAGGAGAGGAAACTGGGAGAAGGAACGGAAGCAGAAACAGGAATGGCAGAGTCTCCTTTTCAAATGGAAGGAATAAAACATGACGTCCAGACTGCTCTCCTAACACTACTGGTTTGTTTCCAAGAACAAGACAAATTGGATCTGAAATCAAGCAGGTGCCCACTTGATCCTTGCAGGGAGGGGTCTCAGACCCTGGTGACTGGGCTGCTCCAGAAACATGGACTACCTGATCTCAGGGACAGCTGTACTACATGGAAAGATGGCCGTAGTCTTACAGGATGGAGGCAGTAAATTGGATTGGGATAAGTGGGCAGATGCATAAGCCTTTCAGCTCTGGCAAGCATTCATACTGTAGTGTCTTCACAAGTGCACTGAGTTGGGTTCCCTAACCCTAATCAGGGTTCCAGATCACAACAATCTGGAGAGGCTTTGTAGCGAAGCCTCCAAGGGGCAAATCAGGCAGCATGGTAGGGCAACGAAACTGAGCCTTTCTTCCTTCTCCTAGTTTCGTTTCACATTTCTCTCTACCCCCCCCCCCGTCTCTAATGACTGTAAGGAGGACTTTCAGAAGGATATGTGCCTGTGATTGTTCACCTTGAAAGGTGGACTGGAGAAGGGATGGGGATCCGCCCACCATCCCATCATCTCAGCGCAGATTGGACCACTGTCTTGTGGCACTTAAAGAAACTAAAGGGGAAAGACTGATATAGGACAATAGTGGCATGACCTCTGTGGCCCCTTTCAGAGCCTTTGGTAGGGCTGCAGGTGCCACCCGGAAGAGCTGTGGGGCACATGAAGACTTTGGAGGGACGCCTAGGCGCTCAGCCATGCCCCTTGACCGACAGGGCCGTGTCTGTGGAGGAGCCAGGCTGCAAGGGCAGCGGAAGCAGGAGGGGCAAACGCCTCTTCTCTCCTTTGACTTACCACATGCGCCTCGTCTACCGTTCACACAGGCCAAAGGAAACGGCCCTTGGAGCTGTGAGGTGAGAGGACTCCTCTCACATCGATCCTCTGGCAGCAGGGTTGGGGCCTGCCTGAAGGTTTTCTCTGCCAAATTTTCTCAGCAGAGAAAGAACGTGGGGCTATGCCCAGTGTGATTTGTAAACATCTGGAAATAAAATACAACAAAGCCTTGAAAAGTCCCAACTCTAGCCACATCTTGACAGCGGAAATTTAAAGCAAATTTACTTTAGCATTGCAGCTTATGCAAACAGAGCTCAGCAGAGGTGACCTCGCGGAAACCTTTCTCCAAGGCCTGCCGGGGAAGATCCGTCTCTCTACAGATGCACCCAGTTGGTTCAGGCAAACCTTGCCTACGGCTGGCTGTCAGCAGAG